TTTTCTGCCTTGCCCGTCCCTTTAAAGGGGGCAGCTCGGTTTCGGTCGAAGCCACGCCTTTTGTCAGGTCGTTAATGGGCCAGAGAACTTCCATCCGGTTACCACATGAAAATTGAGAAAAAATAGAGTGAGTGAGCGAAAGAGTGAGTGAGAGAGAGAGAGAGAGAGAGAGAGAGATAGTGAGAGAGAAAGTGTGGGAGGGAATGAGAGAGAGCGAGAGAGAAACAGCGAGAGAGAGAGAGCGAGGGAGAGAGAGTGATGGAGAGAGAGAGCGAGAGAAAGAGAGAGAGAGAGAACGATTCTAACCTTACCATAAATATGCCACAACCAGAATACAGCTAACAATTGCTGCCTGAATTAATCCGTAGAATTTCGCAACGGTGAACACGATGGAGATGATGACGAGGATGATCTCCCCGACTCCAAGTTGCATTTTTAAGAATTTTCTAAATTGGAGGGTTTTTTTGATCTGATAACTCTAGAATTTAGAGTTTATCAGAAAATAAACACCAATTCGTGTGCGGGAGACGATTTTTCGGAGAAACCGGGCGCGTGAAACGGGCCAAAAAAGGGCAGAGAACTTGATCTCTGACATCCGTTCTTCCCTCTCTCTCTCTATCTCTATCTCTGTCTCTATCCCTCTCTTTCTCCCTCTCTCTCTCTCTCTCTCTCTCTCTCTCTCTCTCTCTCGGTATTTTTTCGACTGTGTGATTGATCGGGGCCAATTTGCACTTTTTTGCCCAGGATTTCAGCCAATTTCATCGATGCCAAAAATGCGAAAATCTGCGCAAAAAGGGACTTTCCAAAAAAACGCAAATGGGATTTTGCGAATTTGAAAAATGGTGTCTTTATTCATATTTAATTATAAATTGTAGTACAGGATCGATTACAGTAACCAAACGACAATTGAAATAGAAAATTCGAAAATTCAAATTTCTCGAAAAAGAAGCGCAAACTTTTCAAATTCCGAAAAATTACAAAACAAAATTAAAGTAGCAAATACAGTAGGAAATACATAGCTAGAAAGATACAGCGCGTTTCAGACAAAAATACGGAAACAATTGTGGTCTTCCCCCGGGAATTGTGTCTCCATATTCACCGTGCCCAGCTCGAACCATTTTGTGATCTGAAACAGTAAAAAAATACTATAAAGGGCTTTAAAAGGATTCATAAACCAGCTAAAATAATATTTTTTATGTTTTAAAGCGTCAAAAATGTTATTTAAAAGTTTGAAGGTTAGAAAATTCCGAAAAATTTCTTAAATTTTGCCGAAAGGCTTTGAATGCGAAAGATGCCATAAGATTCTCACCTTCCTTCCATGATTAATGTATTTTCTGGGGATGATGAACGTTGTTTCGCGTTTGCAGATCTAAACAAAAAACTTAAAATTTGTCTTTTTTTCCGCGGTTTTCCTCTTGACGCTCAGGGTACTCTCGGTGATTTATAAGTTTTATGAGGCAGCGCAGGAAAACTCAATTAAAAGACAAAATTTTTAGCTACCGGACCCAGTGGAATCTCGTTTAACAGACGTTTAACGATAAGTATTCGATTTTTCAACTCTCCACGAATTTCCTCTTGACGGCCAGGGGAACTGTAGCTGATTTCGATAGTTTGTTGGATAGAGCAAAATGAGTTCCACCAAATACAAAATTTTTCAGTCACCGTAACAACGGGATTCTCTTTTTACAGGCTATTTAAAATGGCAGAAAATGTGAATTTTTCCAACTTTCCGCTACGATTCTCTTGACGGCCAGGTGGCTGGCTGATTTTTATAGTATTGTGGATAGAGAAAATTGAGCTCTATACGCTCCAAAAATTTCGGCTACCGTACCGTTCTGCAAACCAATTTTAGGGCCTCTAAAAGTCATCAAAAATCTAAAAAATCTCGATTTCAACGAAAATTTTGTTTAATTGCGCTTTTATTTGACTTACCCATCGATAATTGCATTTGTGCAGTACGGTAATCCTCGGCTCAATTGCCGTAAATTCCACCTCACTGCCATTAATGCGGAATTCCCCCTTCTGATTCGTCTTCACCTCGGCCATTTTGTCGTCGAATTCCGGGCCTGAAGTGTGCGGAAATTTAATTAGCCTCATTATTGTTTTAGCAAAACATAAAATTTCCATTATGGACGTCTGCGGTCCTTTAAAGGGGCTCCAAAATCTGCTCCACACGCCTCAGCGTTGTTTCCTGGCAAATAGCCAGATGCGACCGCGCCGCATGATCTTTTGCCCCCGTTTGGACGTCAAAAAGCCCGAATTTAAAAATTCTCACGCTATTTCTGGAATTCTCATCGAATTTTGATGATCCTAGACGTTTTAATTATGAAAAGTGAGGGGAGAAACTTAGATCGAGAGATTGGGTGCCTTACAAGGTATTACGGCATGTAATCGCCGCACACTAAAAAAGTGATTTTTCCCCGAGAATATCTAGGTTTTACTCAAATTATTTATGTGTTTCGCAACGAAATCATTTTTCTGGTACTTGTCCGCAGTAACCGGTTCGTTTCTTGACCAATAGGTTCAATCCCCGCATGCATGAATTTTGACTTTCTAGGCCCTTTAAAACGGCTCTAATGATCAAAATTCGAGGAGGATCCCAGGAACAGCGTCAGCATTTTGAAATGCAAGCGTTTTCACGTCCAAACCGGGGCAAAAGATCATGCGGCGCGGTCGCGTTGCGGCCTCATCTGGCTATTTGCCAGGAATCAACGCGAGGGGACGTGGACCACATTTCGGAGTCCCTTTAAAAGGGCAGGCGCCTCGTGCGTTGCGTGTCGCGACGCGGAAAAACGATAGCCAGGACCAACTGGTGCCTTTAAATGGACAGTGACATGGCCGGAAAGTCCAAACTGACCGGAATCCTGTTCATTGAGAATGATTGTCGCTCCGGCGAGTGGTTTCTGCCCACACATTAATGTCCCGCGAACGGCCATCGTTTGACGACGGATTGATGAGGTGGGATGGATGAGGGAGCAGGAAATTAGCATTAGGAGACAGAGCGACACACGGCCCGCCATTTTACTGAAATATTATCCAAGTTTGATCGTGAAAAATATTGAGAAAAGTGGGGGGAAAATTGTAAAAATTAAAATATCTGTTTTAGCTGAAAAAATGAATTTGACTTTCTGTTAAATATTCAAACCGTTTAAAACTAATGTCGATAATTCTCACAAAAAAAATACTTAAATTTTCTAAATTTTTCAAAGTCAACAAGTCAAATCTTAACCGCTATGTAATTTTTAAAATTGTATAAATTAAAAATCCGAAAAGACGCGTAATAATAGACATAACCTCGGACTCGAATTTTCAAATTTTAGGATCTTTTGGTGTCAGAATGGCCAATCCGCCAGCCAGGAAGGTGGCAGAAAAAAATGACGGAATTGGGAAGGAGAATGGGGGCCAATCAAGTGTGTCAGGGAGCACACAATTTCATTTTTTTCGCGCCGATACCCACCCCAAGAAGGGGTTTCATTTTCTTTGGGGTGAGCAGATGAAAATTCCGGAGCCGGGAACCCGAAATTAAAAAAAATGCCGACAGCCATAATGCCAAGAATGTCGAAAACTGTTGAAAAATGTCGCAAATCACGCTAATGAAATGCCGACACCAAAAATTTGGCGGACAAATCGAAATGCCGATTACAGATGTGGAAAATGAAGGAAAGAAAGCGAAAAACCGACAACCGGAATGTCGAAAGTCGAAGAAACGCAGATAATTGGAAATGCCGACACCCAAAAATGCCGACCATCTGAAATCTACCGTTTCAAAAAAATGGTGAAATGTCGTCAATCAAAACCGCGACAGCGAGGCCGGGATACGCGCAAGGAATGTGGGCAAAAATGCCGACAAGTCGAAGTACCGACTGCCGCGAATATTATGCGACATGGATATTTCGACGATACGACTCCGAGAAATGCCGACAGCTACGGCTACGGTATCCAATCTTGGAAAGTGTCGGTATTTTTCTGAGCCGTGTGTTGTATGTCGGCATTTAACGGGCCGGAAATTAGTTCGCTAGGCAAGCTAGCAACGATTCTTCCCGAAGGAACCCCGACTCTCTTTAATTTTCTGATTTAAAATGCTCATTTTTCTAAAATATCGATTTTGACTTTTTCGACTTCTAAAATGCTGTCTGTCGGCATTTATGGGCTCCGGAAACTGATCGGCCCGCAGCGACGATTTGCGTGAAAATCTGGCGCTTTGCCCGAATCAAATTTGTCCGAACCGAATTTCGAAGTTTATGGCCACCGGGTTAGATTTTGACGTTCCCCAAGGTTCTCTGCCAGTTTGCCTGCAGCTCCAAACAATTTGATAAATTTTATTAAAAAAGTACAATACTCTAAATATCGAATGACAAAATGACTAGACATTGGGATGAGATAGGTAGAGAAATAGGGCTCAGAATGTCGTCTCCTGTTGCAGATCCACGACCACGTGTCCGTCAAACGTCGGCGTCAACAGCTTAAAAACAACATAATTACAATTTATATAAATAGATTTAGCTTAAATAAAATGAATATCAATGCCGATCGCTTAAAAATATTCTATTAATCGCAAAAAATTAATCGAAATTTAATTTTGATGTATTGATTTTTAAATAATTTTAATTCAGCTTTCAAATATTTTTAAATGTGAACTTAATTAAACTTGCACTATAGACTTAAGTTAAATTTATTTTTATCGCCATTTTCGGGTGTCTTTTCTTTGATTTTCAATTAATTAATTAAATACCTGATTGACTTCTTCGAGTCGTTGATGAACAGTTGGAATTGAGTGGATCTTTCGCTCCAAATCCTTCTTTTCCTCTTCAAGCGATAGACGCTCTTCCGCACCACTGAAAATACGAAAATAGGCCATTAAAGGGATCAGCAAGCCAACAGCTAAATCGTATTCCTTACACCGGATTACGACATGAAATTCTAGCCAGTTTTAGCGTTTTAAAGGAACCGGGAAGTCAAAACTCAGCCTCACCCGCTCGGAAACGATCGAACCGATTACGGCATGAAATTCGAGCCAAGTTTTAACAGTTTAAAGGCACCAAGAAGTCAAAAATAGGCCACGCCCCTTGGAAACGATTACGGCATGAAGTTCTGACCAAGTTTCAGCGCTTTAAAGGGACCAGGAAGTCAAAAGCCAAGTCGTGCCCCTTAAAACAGATTACGGCACGAAATTCTAGCCAATTCTGGGGGCTTTAAAGGAACGTAGAAGGCATATCCGGAGGCCCTGCTCCCTTTTCACTCCTTTGAGGGGTCTTGGAAGCGAAAAATCTATCCGAAAATCGTCATCTAGCGTACCTCAATTCGTTGAGCACATACTCTCCGGTTCCGTCATATTGCAGGATGTGCGTGTGGAATTTCCTGGAAATTAAAATCATCTGAATTCACCTTTAATTAAAAACCCAAATACATTAAATTGAATTAACAAAATAACAGCTGGAATTTTAGATTGAAAATAATTTAAACATTTAGTCAAAAAACCTAATTTTTTGCCAAAGAATTGAATTTAAAACCGCCTCCAATAATTTTTTAATACTTCAATAAACGTCGAAAAATTGAAATAAAAATTATAATTTAATTAAAAAATGCAGAAACTAACCAGAGCGAGGGCCGATGGGTTACGGTGAGCAGAGAAATGCCATGGTCTTTTATCGCTTGATAGATGGCACCCTCGACATCGATTGAAACGGCTGATGTACATTCATCAAGGAGGGCCCATTGAGGTCTGGAAATAACAATGCGTAATCGATTACTCTCTCTCTCTCTCTCTCTCTTTCTCTCTCTCTCTCTCTCGCTCTCTCTCTCTCTCTCCCCTACCTATGATAGAATATCCTCGCCAATCCCATCCTCTGCTTTTCCCCTCCAGACAATACATCCATCCAGTCATTTCGAGCATTCCACCCTGAAAATATGGCATTTTTGGAGGTTATCTCTTACGAGGGGAACGGGTGAGATTCAAACCTGCCTGAATCTAATCTTACCTCCTTCCCGCTGGACAACATGATTCAAATGTACAATATGTAGAATGGCTTCGAGATCTCCATCGGTAATTCCCTTCCTTCTCATTTGCCATGCCGTATCCGGGTAGATCACCTGGAAGAAACGTGTTTTAAGGCTCCGGAAAGGCATTGCATAGGATTTTTATGATCCTTTACTTGCCCATTAAAGATTTTCCGTTTTTTAAAGACAAAAGAAAACGCGGGCTTCGAGGTGGCTAAATGGTAGTGCGCTCGGCTGCCACGCACAGGGTCCGGGTTCGATCCCACTCGCTGCAGAATTTTTTCTTTTGGTTAGAAGCTTGGGCTCGGGCTCTTCTTTTAGGGATGTTAATCGAATTCAGCATTTAGACAATTTGGGCCCTATTTACGGTTTTTTTAGGCATTTGCGGGCGTGAAATCCGTACCTGATCCCTGAGCGTTCCCAGCGTCATATACGGCCGTTGCGGGATGTAGTACATGTCGTGTTTCTTCGGTCGTCGGAGGTGCCCTCTAAAAATTTGATTTTTCAGGTTAAATCAACGAGATCGATCAAATACGGCAGTATGTTGGAGCTCGGGTTCGACCCCCGGCTGCGGCAGGCTTTTTGCTTTTTGCCCCTGAGGTATTTTCTGATGATTTTTTGATCGTAATCGGTAAACTGGCATACAATAGGCCCTATTTACATATTCAAAAAGTTAGAAATGGATCGAATGTGGCAAAAACCTAGGGTCATGGGCTCGATTCCCGGGCGCGACAAACTTTTTGCTTTTTGCTAGCACTTTTTGCGCCTTTTGCGATTTGATTAAGCAAACTGAGATACAGTGACCCGATTTCCCTTTTTAAAATGGTAGAAAATGCCTTCATCGACAAGTTTTCGGGGCTCGGGTTCGACTCCCGGCCGGGGCAAGCTTTTTGCTTTTTGCTCAAAAGCCACTTTTTTAGAAATTTTTAATTCGATTGCCTAAACTGGCATACAGCAACCCGCTTCCCATATTTAAAACGGTGCAAATCAATCGAATGTGGCTAAAACCTGGGGTCCCGGGTTCGACCCCGCGCCGCGACACGAACTTTTTGCTTTTTGCCCCAACGTTCATTTTTCGCAATTTTTCAATTCTATTCCCCAAATTGTCTGACAGTACACGCATTCCGACCTGTACAATGGCCACAGCCCTCCCAATACTCGAAATAGCGATGATTTCCCGCATCCGTTGGGCCCAGTGATGAGGAGATGCATCGAACGGGGCAATTGAAGGCTCATTTCTCTCACAACGACATCTCCATTTGGGGTGACGATTGGCACTCGATCCAGAATGATAGAGCCGTCCGTCGTTTCCGAGATTTCACCTGAAAAAGGGGCGTGGCTTAGGGTTTAAAGGGACGGTGACAGGTAGCTCAGAGCTTTCGCTTTAAAGAATTCGAAAATTGTGCCTTTCAACGAGTTTTTTTGCTTATCGGTTGAACTGCCCACCAGGGCATTGATGCGTCAAAAATTGTGATAGTGGGGCTTAAAAGGGGGTGGTCTAAAGGGAGCGTGACAGGTAATTCAGGGATTTTAGCAAAAAAAAACCCCACAAAATCTGGATTTTGGACTGGTTTTTTGGTTTTTTATTTAAACTGTCAGGCAGAATATCGAATAAACTAAAAAAAATTGGCAAAGTGGGCATGGTCTAAAACGGGGCGTGGCTTAAAGGAAGGGTGACAGGTGGATTTTCAGCTTAAAATCTAATTTAACGTGGCGCGTTGCGTGTCACGCTATCGAAAAACTCATCAGAGGCATGCCTTGCCGGCCCCTTTAAAATGGGCGTGGCCTAGGGTTTAAAGGAAGAGTGACAGATAGGATTTTTTAAACAAGCAATTGTGATTGCTCACCAAGAATCCTGGTGGTGTCGAATCGTTCTCTCTTTCCTCCTCCATTTTCTTCATCATTCTCCGATACCGTAACCCGCTCGAAGCGGTTCTTTTTCGTCTCTTCAAATACACGGAACATTTCGTGCACTCGACTCGTGTACCCTTGCAGTTCCGTTATCTGTAAATTTACAATAAATTTTATAACAAATTTGGCACTATTTAAATAATTTAAACCTATTTAATAATTTTTAAATTATGTCATTTTCATGATTTTCGAAATTTTTCAGAATTTCGATATTTTACACTAGGTGTCACTGTCCCTTTAAAAATCAAAATGCCCTGCTAACCGCTTTGGTGACTGGCAAATTATATTTTGGAACACCTACCGCAATTTTAATGTTATTTTCAACGAAAAACGAGAATCGAAATTTAAAAAAGAATTGCTTTTGCGAATTCCACTAGCCCTTTAGGTGTCATGTTCCCTTTAAAGCCCAATTTTTTTCTGCTAATCGCTTAGCTGATTAGAAATGATTTGTTAATAAACCTTTTGTAATTCATACCGTAATTTTAAAACAAAAAAATCAAAAACTCTGATCTAAAAAATTCGCAGTTTTCCAATTTTCCACCAGCACGCTTTGCTTGGTGTCACCATCCCTTTAAAATAGAAAATATCTTGTCAATCGCTTAACTGGCTGACAATTGGCCTTCTCCTCCACGCTAAACCCCTCCCCCCAGCCACCGTACCTCCTTATACGAGCTCATCAGTCTCTCGGCGGCATCGGCCGATTGATAGAGAAGATGTTTGGCTGTGGAGAAGCCCTTTGTCCTTTCACTCACTCCTCCATCTGGCAATTCATCGATTAATTGATCTTCTGGAAGGGATAGACCACAAATACATTCTACACTTACCGTCATTACGAGCATTTTGAGCATGAAGGATTGGGAGGGCGATCATTACCATTCCCGTGGCTGACCACACGTATTTCATCAGGAATTGCTCCTGAAATCGGGAAAGATAGAGAGGAAGAGAGAGGGAGAGAGAGAGAGAGAGAAAGAGAGGGAGAGACAGAGAGAGCGTGAGAGAGTGAGACAGATGGAAGGTGAGAGAGAGGGCGAGAGAGAGAAAGCGAGAGATAGAGCGAGAGTGAGAGAGAGATAGAGAGTGAGAGAGAGGGCGAGAGCGAGAGAGAGACAGGAGAGCGAGAGAGAGTGAGAGAGATAGAGAGTGAGGGAGAAGGAGAGTGAGAGAGAGAGAGCGAGAGAGAGACAGAGAGAGCGAGAGAGAGCGAGAGAGAGTGAGAGAGATAGAGAGTGAGGGAGAAGGAGAGTGAGAGAGAGAGCGAGATAGAGAGAGTGAGGGAAAAGGAGAGTGAGGGTGAGAGAGAGCGAGAGGGTTAGAGAGTGCGAAAGAGATAGAGAGTGAGAGAGCGGGCGAGAGAGACAGCAAGAGAGAGAGAGAGTGAGTGAGAGAAACAGCAAGAGAGAGAGAGTGAGCGAGAGAGAGTGGAGCGAGAGAGAGAAATATCTATCAAACATACCATCATAATATACAAAATCCTCTTTTTGTAGATGAGCATTGATTGTTTTTTGAGGCTATTAAACGCCCCATTCAATTGTTCTTCTTCGGCTTGATGCCCTCCATAAAAGGCAATTTCTTCGGAATTGGTGATGACGCGAGAATGGAGGAATCGGAGATGCCCCTTCCGCTTCGCCTCCTCGGCCACCATCGCGCCGAATCTGATCGTAGAAGGTTAAAAAAATACTATCTTTTTCGTTACCTCGGCGATATGGCCTTCAATATCTGAGCGGTTCCCCCAATAACAACGGCAGCCAGACTCATTGGAAGGAATGTATGCTTCGAGGCTGATCTCTTGCGGGCCATCATCAATAGAGTTCCCCTGGAAATTCCTGGTTAAACGGGCTCCGAAATGTGGTCCACGGCCCCTTAGCGTTGATTCCTGGCAAATAGCCAGCTGCGACCGCAACGCGACCGCGCCACATGATCTTTTGCCCCTGTTTTGACGTGAAAACGCTTGAATTTGAAAATTCTCAAGTTATTTCTGTAATCCTCATCGAATTTTGATGATTCTAGACTTTTGAATGATCAAAATTGATGAGAGAATCACCGAGATCGAGAGATTGGGTGCCTTACGAGGCATTACGACATGACAATCGCCGCCCACTCAAAATGTTCTTTTCTCTCCGAGAATATTACGGTATTACTCAAGGGAGAGAGAGAGAGGAAGGGAGAGAGAGAGAGAGAGAAGGTATTTGCTGAGACTCACGTGATGAGTGCAATATCGAGGAGTGGCTTCGTCAGATGTGAATATAGATGCGCGACCGATTGGGCAAATGTCGACACATCTTCTGTCAAACATTGATCTGCATTTGCTAGGCGGCCATCAAGGTTTGACACCTGCAAAATTAAAAATTACGAAGCCACAAGGAATATTCCGAAAGTGCTAAAGATACGCACCTTATAGTAGGTATCATCGGAGAAATATTGTGAATATGCATGCTGGGTGAGTCTTGTTCGGAATTGAAGAGAAAGAAGAGATTCGAAGAAACGAATCAGGGAATTGATTAGAGTGGCCGGGATGGCAACACCCAACCATCGACACAGCAGCATTGCAAAGTGCCACCCACGCTGCTCCACGATCGCCTGAAAAAATGGATTTTGAGGGATTAAAATCGCATAATTAAAGGCAGACGGATTTTGGGGCGCCGCGACACGCAACGCGCGCAAAGTTTTACACACCGTAATCGATTACGACCTGATAAATGCGCTCGGGAGGCGGCAGAATCCGCTCCTCCTCTCGCGCTCTCTCGCTCTCTCCCTCCCCCTCTCGCTCTTTCGCTGTCTCGCTCAACCTCGCTCTCTCCCTCCCCTTTCGCTCACTCTCTCTCTCCCCCTCCCACTCTCTCCCACTCTCTCTCCTACTCTCTCTCGCTCTCGCCCCTCTCTCTCTCTCCCTCTCTCTCTCTCTCCCACCTTTACAAGTCTCCCTTCCAGTGATGCCACATAGATCGAAATGAAGGTCCTTGTCACGAGAATTAGCGAGTGAACGCCTAAAAGCAAGATTTTTGGCGAGTTCCGGCTCCCCGTAATGCTCCCTTTCAGCTTCCTACACTCCCCTTAAAGAAGAAACTTGACTTTGTTCACGCATTCACTTCACTTTCGAAAGCGGTGGAAAGCTAGTCTCTAGTTGTCGCCACCCCTTTAAAAGCCCGAAATGAATGCCACGAACCAAGGCAAAAAGCTTCTTTCGTAAACAGCCCGGGCACCATGATCTTCAGCAACGTGCGGAGCTGCAAAAAAAAAAACGCTATTTTCATTGAAAAGCAAGTTTTGACACCCTACGCATATTTAAAAAACAGGGATTAATTTTAATAGATTTCGCAATTCGTCCGAAAATTAATCGCAAAGGACGCCAAAATTCCTCGGGAATTTTTCTGGTATTTTCTTGAATTGACACCCATTCAACCGACCTGTGCAATAAATTCCGGGTCAAAAGCCTTCCTCGTCCTGTATGGATTCTTTTGGTGCGCATGCCCCAATTTGACGCCATTCTTTGCCTTCCACTTTTTGTCGCCTAAATTCAAATTATTGAAACGAAACTTAATATATACAAATACATATTAAAAATAAATTGTCACGGGAGTTTAAAGTTCCATTGAAGTCACGAGCATTGTCGTTCAAAAAAATCGAAAAATTTGAAAGTCGAAAATGTTATGTTTTTCGGAAAATCAAGCAGTTTTCGTTTTTCCCGGCTTTTTATTACACTTTTCAAAGCACTGGTTATATTTGCAGGGTTCAAATTGAATTTTTAGAACTCTGGAACAATTTGATCCATTCGGCAGACATACCTCTGAATAAAACTTTGCCCCGACCGTGGAGAGCACGATCGTCGCGATTCCGCCCAATAAATACTAAAAAAATCAGATTTTTGGCTGCATATTTGAAAATGTCAATATTTTGTAATCTGTATGCTCAAAAACCAATTTAAAATGTTAACTGAAATTCAGAAAAAATGAAAATCGTACCTTTCTCCGTTTATCCGGATCGAGGGCCACTTCCAGCATTTTTGACTGCACCGACATCTTTTAGAAATTTATTTTGTTGGCCTTAAAATGAGATTAGTGCAAAAAAGCAATACAGAAATATGGGAAAAAGAAAACACAGGCAAAATTGAAAAACAACAAAAACACGTTTAATAAATCGACTGATAAACTTAGAGCCGACAAAGGTCGTTTTTTACATTGTAATTTTGTAATAAAATTCAGATAAGCAAATTCAGAGAGAAACTAAGCAATTGAATATCAACATCAGAATTAAATAAATTATCAAGTTTATTCCACAACTGAATATGGACAATTTGAGGACCCGAGACTCGTGCTAAAGTTCATCTCGACCTGGGCGATTTTTCGAAATTTTGAGACTGATTAACGAGGAAAATATGGCAGGGAGGGAGGGGTTGGGTAGACAAAGAGAGAGAGAGAGAGAGAGAGACAGCCCATGAGAGAGAGAAAGGGCTGTATGATAAGGCTACGGGACGGGGGCTGTGCATGGGGTATTTTGTGAGGCGATTGGACCAGTGTGAAACTACACGACGCCCCACATTCCAAAGTCGACAGACCTTGCAGCTATGAAAATTTTTTCTATAAAAAAACACCGTAATATGGTTATATTACGTAATTCAAAGTCCAAAGCTCAAAAAAATCCCGAAAAATTGGCTAAAATGCTTTTTATGCCCAAAAGGATGTTCCAAATTTTCAAAAAAACGCATGTACTTGTCATAAATCTATTACGTTATTAAAAACCACATAAAAAACGTATCACTATTTTCTGTGTGCTAAAATCCAGAGAATTTTTCATGAATTCCAGATTTTACCAAATTACGGAAGATCTCAAAAATTTAAAGTGTTAACAATCGCCTTAAATGACAAATATTCCGCACGGAAACTAAAGACACTTTCCTGGAAAGAGTTTATCCTCTGCTGGGTGATTTTTTTCTGATTTCCGCTTTACCGTGAATTTTTTAAAGCTAAAATCCAGAAAACCCGTTAAAGAGGGCTCGGAAGTCAAAATTCGCGCTTACGGTGAAAAAAAAACTACTGCTCAAAAAACGGAAGGGTCACGGCCGAGAAGTACCAGAAAAATAATTTTGTTGCGGAAAAACATAAATATTTCAGAAAAACCGAAAAGTTCTTGGGGCGAAAAGGACATTTTCAGTGTGCGGCAATTACATGCCGTAATGCGTTGTAAGGCACCCGATGTCTCGATCTCGACGATCCTCTGATCAATTTTCATAAATAAACAGTCCAGAATGATCAAAATTCGATGAGGATTCCAGAAATAGCGTCAGAATTTTTACATTCAAGCGCCTTCACGTCCAAACAGGGGCAAAAGGTTATGCGACGAGGTCGCGTTGCGGCCTCATCTGGCTATTTGCCAGGAATCTACGTAGGGGCCGTCGACCCGACTTCAGAGCCCCTTTAAGGAATAAAGCTGAAAATACGAATATTCCGCGAGGAAACTAAAGACATCGGTTGGGAAAGACCAATGTTCTGTTTGTCAGCTGTGTTATCACTCTGGGGAAAGCTAAAGCTGGCGAGCTTGAGGCAGCCTGGATTCGCCGAATTCGGCCGACGGTCCCCATTCGAACGTCAATAGGAATGGAAAGGACTGGAATGGAGAAAGAGAAAGAGCAAAGACTATTATTGTTGGCTGACAGATGACACATCCAAATCAACGAGCAGCTTGTAGCCTCCGGATATAAATACTCGGGACTACTTGGGACAAAACCGATAATTATCGATAAAAAAATTTTCACGCCGCCACATGGTCATTTTGATGTCGTAATCGATTGTTGATGAGATTTTTTGTATTTTGACGACTAATACACTCATCGACAGTCAGTTAACTGCTTCCGTTCTTTCAAACTGCAAAAGCCGCCGGGCATTTTGCCAAAAAAATCGATAATTCTCGCTTTCACTGCTGTCTAGGTTGCGGATTTTCATGTCGTCATCGATTGTTCAGCCGCTACTTCTGTATTTTCACGGTTGCAAAAGGGAAACTGACAGCTAATTAACATTTTACGTCCCTAAAGCGACCGTAGCCCATTGGAATTTTCCATAAAAAATTTATAACTAGAGCTGAACAAAATCAAACAATATCATGTGGCAATCAATCGATTTCGGGTGCGGTTTTTGGGTGTTTTCACAGACAGAAACATAACAGGAAATCCCGGAAATGGCGTTTGCAGGACAGTCGGAAAGAAAAAAGGGTAAGCAGCAATCAGTGCTCCCGGGTAAATGAGAAAAATAGGAGAATGGAGAGGGAGCAACAGATAGCACAGTGAGAGGGGGAGACTGTCTTTTGTTTGTCGCTTATCTGGGGATCTCTCTCCCCCCCCTCTCTCTCTCTCTCTCTCTCTCTCTCTCTCGCTCTCTCTCTCTCTCTCTGACCGCATATCGAGATCAACAAATACAATCGGTTTTGGGATTTGTTAAGAAATGTGTATTGTAGCGGAATGTTTTTAAAGGGACTCTTAGGCATAAAATAAACCCCCCTCCCACTGTCGAATCGATTACGACGCCGAATTCGTGATCCCATGCACCCGATTACGATATTCAAGTCTCTCAATGTCCGGTCGATTACGTCAGGAAATTAACGATCTCGTCAGAATCGCTTACAGCATGCAATTCCGGCGATACACTCTGTTTTAAAAGTACCGGCACGGCAACGCTATGGATTTTTTTGGCGCTATAGATTCTTCAGCGCTGCCGCACGCAACACTTTTCAATTGCGCAACGGATGGCGAGGCGCTGAAAAAGGCGCGTGGAGCATACGCAGCCGGTGCGCATTGCGGTACGGGACTTTAAGGGGGCCGGCAAGTCTCTACTACAGTCCGCGTCATAATGATAGGTTCACCCCATTTTAGGACAGCTTGTTAATCTAGGATAAGTTTCCCGGATAAAAACGGGCGTTGTAATCAGTTGGGGCACAGCTCAAAACCTTCCAGGCCAGTATCCATTTGGTTAGAAAAGGCTTCTAGATTTCGAAGGAATTTTATCTAAAAAAAAGGCTTGCGTCATAAAGATAGGTTCACCGAATTTTCCGCAAAATCATACATTCGGATTTTACTTGTATTTTAATTAAGTAGCATTGAGGTATACATGAGTTTCCTATACTTGGTTTGACTCGAAGGTTTCAGGAATTTTTGCAAAGTCGATTTTAACAAAGAAATTACTATTTTTGCTGGCAATACGGAGCTGGATTCAACCGGAAGCGCAAGTTCCTTCCATGTACTTGAAAGAGCAGCTCAAGACAAGCATTTTGGTATATAACAACGTCTTTGGCTTCGGCGATATTGGGGTGACACACGAAGAAATTTGGGATGGACTGCAAGTAAGGATTGGCGGCCATTTAGTAGCTGGGACCCAGTAAGGTTCGATGTTTCTAGACCTGTATCTTCGTGAACACCTTAGTTCCTATAGCCGTTTATATACCAAAATGCTCGTCATTAAGTGCACTTTCCGAGATCGCCTACATACTAAAAATTGAAAACAGTATCGCCGGATAATCCTAAAAAGTGTGATTTCTTGTTGAAATCGACTTTTACAAAAAATTCCCTGAAACCTTTCGAGTCAAACCAAGTATAGGAAACTCATGTATACTTCAATGCTACTTAATTAAAAATACAAGTAAAATCCGAATGTATGATTTTTGCGGAAAAATTCGGGGTGAACCTATCTTTATGACGTAAGCCTTTTTTTGAGATAAAATTCCTTCGAAATCTAGAAGCCTTTTCTAACCAAATGGATACTGGCCTGGAAGATTTTGAGCTGTGCCCTAACTGATTACAACGCCCGTTTATCCGGAAACTTATTCTAGATTAACAAGCTGTCCTAAAATGGGGTGAACCTATCATTATGACGCGGACTGTATCGATTTTTTGGCACCGGCAAAACGCGAGAGGGAGAGAGAGAGAAAGAGAGAAAAGGCTAGAAAGAGAAAGCGAGAGAGAGAGAGATCATAACTTTTTGCGTTGTCCTATATTTTTGTGCATATATTCTTCGTGCTGCTTTATCCGTCTGATACTGTTTCTTAAATGATAATAAATGATGTGAAATTAACCACGCAGTGAGACTCGAGAGCTTACACATCAATGGCAAACACCTCGGGTTAATTGACCCCGATACCGCCAAATCAAAAATCGAGGTCATTTTAGCGCCCACATTCTGCGCGCCAATTATAAAGAACAACTCGTCAAAAGTTTCTCATAAGTTTATATTAATATTTCTGTACTGTTTGATTTGGCCGGGGGCAAATTATGGAATTTCTGCATAACTTTTTTAGTTTTCATTTTAGCCGGGCTAAAATTGAAACTCTGAGTATCTTTTTTTGTCGCTCTATCGATTGGCGTTCAAGAAATCCGTTAAAAATGACCAAATTTGTCAAAACTAGCCGTCCCCGCCAGGTTCGGCGACGGAGATTCCGAATCTCTTGTCAGAATCTACAAAGCGCTTAATACAAAAAAGTTATAAGCGTTTGAGTTTTGCCCTTATGAGTACCCCCCAAAACAAGGTGTCCGCCTGTCGAGTGGTGTAGTGAAAGTCAACTGCCTCTTGGGCAAAGGGTTTCTGGTTCGGTTCCCCAGTCATGCAAGGTTTTTTCTTTTTGGACAATGTCAACAACTTTAGACTTGCTGAACAAGAAGAAGAAAGAGAAGAGGATAGACGGAGGTGGATGATCTCTCCATTGAGCAGCCTTTTCAACCGATTCCATAAATGGATATTTGGAAGAAAAAGAAGAAGAGGAACAACAACAACAACAACAAGTTCACAAAACAGATCAAGAACAAGATCAACAAGAATTATTCTGTCTCGATTCCCAATTCAACATCTTCCATCTGATCTCCTTTCCATCGTCATAGATCAATTATCTATCCATGAATTACTCCTATTACATCGTGCCAACAGGAAATTCAGGTAGTGCCGGTATTCCGTTTGGCTCATGCCCTTTAAAGAAACATTCACCTGCCAATTTTATCAAATCGGTCTACGCTATCCAGGGTGTCCCAAAAAAGAGCCCCCAC